ACGCAAATGCAGTGCGACGATTGAATCGAGATTGTGCTCTCGAGTGTCTTTCATGCGGTAGATATCCTCTTTAAAGAGAAAGCCGGAGGATTTGCGCCCCGATTATACGAAAGGGTCATCAAAGCGCGCGCACCAAGCAAGCGATTCGTTATAGCTCGTTAATTTGATGAGTTAGAAAGGATGCCGGATTACGTCGTCAAAAGGTAGGCAGGTACGCGATCTGTCCAATTAGCTGGGCATAGGGCGGCTCTCGTTCTCTCCTTCATGCCCCGCATGGGGTCTTTTGTGTTATGATGTTTAGACCGTTTAAAAATATACGCTACTACTGTAGCGTACCCATCCTCCTATTACCCGCATCTTCGCTTTGATACGCGCACGCGGATCCATCGCGGAATCCGTAACGCACCTGTAATTTCCTAATGGACCAAGTACGGGAGATGTGAGTCTAACAATCAAGATTATGGTCGACATCATACATCTCCCTTCTTCCCGTTTGCAACGCTCACGCTCACGTCAATTAGCGAACAGTTAATTATCTTCCCGTGGGCTAATTATCAATCGCAATACTTGTATTTTTATGTATGTAAATTAAATTAGCTGTACCTGATAACTATACGCGATAAATATTTTAGATTTAGAGATGTCAGCCGTAGCCGCCTTGTAGATCCTTTTAATTTTTTAAATTAAGCAGATAGGAGGAAATATATTAAATATTTTTAATTGCCTTTATCTGTCCCGCAATGCATTTCGTTTACCGTGTCCCGCGCTGGAAGAAAAATTAGACGCCAGGGAGTGCGCGGGTAGTCGCGACACCGCATCGCGATTACCTCGCGCGGCCGTGAGTTTGTAATTAATATAGGCTTAATGGTTCAAGATCGATATATACGCGGCCGCTTAAATAATGAAGTGCGGTCGCTTTGACGTTAATTAATTTCAAGTGCATTAGCAGAATTGCAGCCCGCGGCGGTAGGATCTTGCGAACATCAATGTGATTAATAAGAACCGCGCTCGCAATCTATAAAGCCGCCAGGCCGAAATAGAGACAGGGATATTGCGAACGGCATGCTGGAAACTCCGTTCACAGAATAGCTCGAAACGTAATTCGTGTGTCAGGGTCAGGGTACGTGTGTGTGTGTGTCTGGGAAGCGATAGAGTTTCGAATTTAAATTGGTTAGTGTCTCAGTAGGTGTCTTTTGGAACTATCAGGGAAATATCGAAGAAACGGGAAAGTAAATTGAGACCACTTATTAATAATATGTGATATTTTTTTTTCTGATGTAGGAAGATCCCTTCGCACATGATAGAACAATCATGTATCTTACAAGAGATATACGTTTTATGTACATTTGCTTCATCGTATTATTACAAAGTAACTTAGGTCTACTGTGTGTTTCCATAATATCCATTACGATTTTATCGCCTATCTATCATTTATCTTAATGATATTATTTCTTTTTATTCTATAATTATACATCGTCTAACGTAGTGTTACAGGATAATATACATTAGGTAGTATACACGAAATATACATTCACGTATATTAAGTAGGCATTCTTGCATATACTTCTCTCTTTTATCAGAAAACACATTATGATAATGAAGTTATCGCGCGAAAAAGTGCAGTGCAAACTTTTATAAAGTTTAAGACCTTCAAACAGACGAAAAGTACCATAGAGAGAAATGACTATATAACAAGACTCTCTGGGACGAGAGTCAACAATTCTTACTTTTCATATCTCTCTCTCTCTC